AATGGTAGCGAGCCACAAAGCATTGATTTGTTTTGAGAAAGGAAGCGCTGCGATAGACGACTTGGTGAAAAGAAATGATTAAAAAGAAAAGATGGAGAATGTATGATTTCTTCATGAGAATGTAGATGGATGTGGGGATGGGTTTGTGTTGGGAAGGGTGTGGGGGCAATGAAAACTGATATTCACATTCAGAGTCGTATTCACGTCCACACCGAATAGGTTCTGTGTTGTGTTCGTGACGAACATGTGAAAGAAGACAGTGAAAATTTTTTTCTCTTTAATCACATGGTGCTATCCACGGATTAGCTAATTAAAATGAGAACATAATATAAAAGTAATGCATAATGTATTGTACCACTCGATCGTTGAATTCTGGTCAGAATCACATGAAGAACACACGTTTTACTAATACAATAGGTGTTAATATTGCGTTTTAGCTCGTCAATTCAGATGACTAATGGTGTTCACTTCTGTTCGTATTTGTATTCATTAATTTCTTTTTCATAATGCCCATTAACTATCTTCTTCTAATAATATTTTTCGACTTAAGTTCTTAAGTGGTTTTCATACTACGGAAAATTTGTTCATTTCAATTTTTTTTTCTACTAAACGTAACAGGATATGTTGTTTGTTGTGTTACGTTAAATTATAATCAATCAACGAAGATCTTTTAATAGAACCAACTGCTTTTTAAGTGTTGGATACTGACAAAACGATTATTAGATCTGGTTAAAAAGACTTATTGAATATATTTTGTTAATCCAAAACAGTCAACTTCGGTCGAGTATAATTTAGAACTAAAGCATTACGATTCAGTTCTTGTGTGTATCCTAAAATGACCTTAGTTTGAAAAGTAATAGTTTGACATCTACGCTCATTTCTCCAGAATGATGTCGACCTCACATTCAAAGTCGGCTATCATGTCTTGACTTTTTTTTTCAGATATTTTCAGTATCGGTCTAGGGATTATAATTTGAATTTCTTTTTAAAAAAAGCCTACACTCTTGAGAAGTTCATGCGTATTAAACAATTTTGAAAAATACAAAATGATTGAGGAAAAAAAGCAGAAGACGGAAGAGGAAAATCGAAGTAAGACGAACAATAACCAAGATGACAAAAAAAAACGGAATCTTTTTGTGATCTGTCTGGCTTTCAGCTTGTGCATACATTTCACTCAATATCATCACCAATTTTCAATCAATTATTAATACGGAGGGCGGTCTCATTTCTGTTTGCCATAGTCTTATCATTATAAAATATTGATAGTCAGCTTGTGTGGAAGCCAAAATCTCCTCAAGCATATTTACTTCATAGCCTTCCATGTATGTCAGATACTTAAGTTTCCATCATGAAACTATTTAAAGTCAGTTTTTCAAAATATCTTTTCATCGAAGAGCTCTTTGCTCAAACTCAACATTTGGTCAAAAGTCAATGAAACAGCACTCTTTGAATTCTCTTTTTGACAAAATGAAATTCAGTGTTCCAGAACTTGGTAATGGTTTCTTTTCTTACTTTGTTATAAAAAAGATCTGTATATTATTCACTATGATTATTTTGGACTCCTAGAGTAACAAACGGCTAAAACATTAGTATCTTATGCATATTTTAATAAGCAAATGCGTATGTTGAAGTGTTCTAGTCGACAGATCTCTTATTACTGACAAAAACGTGAGCTTATACTACTCTTATCATTAGAAGATCTTTCATAGTCAGAACAACCCTATTCCAAATATATACCAATGGAAATCTATGTCTATGATGATAAAATCTCAAAAAAATTCTTTTGGCACGATCTCTGTGGAACTAAATTGTCGCGCATGATGAGACTGCTACCATAGAGAACAACAGAGTTTAATAAAGTGACACTCAATACTAAGCATCTTCTCTTTTACATTGATCAGAAAAAGAAGTACCTGATTTTGTTCTTCGTTTAGCTTTTTATAATAATCTATTTACTGACCCAAAGATACGACATTCTCAATATCTACACTGTTTCTAAATGTTGCTTTTGTGTTTGTCTACTCGTATGCATCTATATTACATCTTCGTGTACCAATAATTTTATAAAACATCTACCTGAGCTTGGTTATGGTATGTTATGTGGTTCTTGAGACTCGAAACCTTAGAACATCGACAAAGAAAAATGAACAGTTATCTGTTCTCAACAATATTGTCATGATTGATATTAGTGAAATGTCTACAGACCACTATTAAAATTATACAGAAAAATTCGATCCACTATGTAACAATTCTTCAAAGAATGGGAACTATACAAAATCTAACAAAAATAAAGCACATCAGTGTCGACGAATATTCATAAAAGATATTCTACTATTTGTAATGAAAAGCTGATCAAACGGTTCAAGTATCTTAACTCAAATACTGCGGTATAGTGATGCCTCAGTTTCACATACTCTCAGGAAATTTTTCGCTAAGAACATAAAAGCTATTATCTCTCTCTCTCTCTCTCTTGCTATCAATTCGATCTTTTGTTTGATAGTATCTCGTTAATATTATTTGTAATGGCTAACTGTTCTTTTAATGAGATTAATTAGCTCTTAGGTTTTTTCATTGTGTTACGTTCTCATCTCTTCTTGGTAAATCTTACTACATTATAAAAAAATTTCATTTTGCTTTTCTGCATATGATTACTAATGAACAATCTATAAACGGTTAGTGGCCTAAATTCCATTGCTTATGTCCTCCCATTCTTTCTGTAAGTCATCTGCTAGAAATGAATATGAAATTCACGAAACAAGAGAAACCGAATGATATTGAGAAAAATAATATTAATTTACTTAATTAACGACATATTATTCAATCATCACAAGATATTAATGCGAACAACAGTTTTATTTATTCAAATAAATCAGCTATGAGTAAATTTCAGAAATCAAAGTGTTAATAAATATACAAGCAATCATCAATGGAAACTAAATGAAACCATAAGAAATTCATGAAATCGTAGTTTTCAAAGAACTGTCGAAACTGAAAAAATTCATGAAATCAAAAACATGATGAAATCCAAAAAACTCAACAGACTTTGAAGGTTCAAAACATTCATAGAATCATACAATTGCACTCATGTATTCTTGTATGTAAAGAAAATAAACCGAAATTAGTCGTAAAACGTTTTTATTCTAATATTTATTTATACTGAGTAATTGACTGAGATAAGCGAAAAACAAGAATAATCGATCGAAAATATATTGTGAGTCTAGTTGATATGGGAACGGGAACACGAACAAATAGCAATAACATTCAACTTGCAATCATTTCTATTTGTGTTTAGTCAAATGAATTGTAACTCCTTTTTGTTCTCTTTTATATATTTATGATAGAAAATGTGTTTCTTTTATTTAAACAATTTTTTTGATGAAGATCAACAAGGCATAGTTTTGTTTGGTAATGAATGTAGCAATTTTTAGAAGTAATATATGTTTCTATCATATTTTCATTTTATGCTACTCGTCAGTTAAAAATCATTGTTTTCATCTAATTGAAAATTCTTTATTTATTAGATTGGCCTGTAGGTGTCTTCGTAAGAAAGGCAAGACATATGTTTTTTTCTTTAACAACAGAATTGACTCAGTTAATTTTTAGTTATAAAATGGATGCATTTCGTTATTATTCAAGTTTGATTTGTTTTAGAGAATTCTTCACATTACTCGTATGTGTTTTTATCATTATTATAATAGCCTTTCTTACAACTCGCAGTTTAAAAAAAAATTGTCAAACTGATAAATTTAGATTTCAAAAGTCTGTTTGTAATTAAAAAAGAAGAGGTGTACAGATAGTAAGGATTTTCTAACAAGCATTATGAATTATAATATTTTGTAATGATTTCTATCAATAGCAGCATGATCAAGAACGTTCGAATCTCATTCCTACTGTAAGTTGTTTTCATAAACTCATAGATAAAGTTAATTATGCTAATGAATCGAAGTTATTTTGAAAAATCAATGAGATCTTTCATGAAAAATTAGTAAAACGAGTTGCAAATTAAACGACCTTTTATCAATTTTTTTTCATTGACTTTATTTTCAAGCGAACTGTTTTATATTACTACTGACTTATGTTTTCTCGTGCGTTCTTACGTATCAGGCGTGGACAAATAGGTTAGAACTTCCTTCTTGAACGATTTGAGTGTTACATTAGATTTGATAGAGTCTAAATTAAAAAATTTTGACTCTCCATGTCTCTGGTTTTCATTCAACATCTATATTTCTTGCGTCACTTTTTCTATTTTCTTTTGTGTTTTCTCTCTCAATTGAAGAATAACCATAGAAAAGATGAAATGAAGCCAAGTAAATTTTTAAGAATTTCGCATTTCATAACTGTTTTTCTATACGATAGGCAAACCAAAGAAATAACTAGTATTGAAAATTTAGCAAAATTAAGAGCCTGTGTTACTCTAGATAAACATTAATAGAGTAAATTTAATTTGCAACTAAAAACCATGATGAGAATAGAAGTTATTTTGCCTGCAGTCGGCAAACTGTTTTTCTTTTCTTGTTGCTTTTTTTTTCCTTTCTGCTTTTTCCTTTTTGATGACAAATATTACTTGTACTTCTGCACACAAATGTGATCAACACGGGTATTTTTGTCTGTGTGAAAAAAAATGAACAGGAATGAGAGAAAAAAAGAAGGAGCAAAATACAATTGATTGTGTAACTAGAAAAATACTAAGGTCAGACGATTTCAAAGCATTTTTATTTTGCAGAAAAATATATAAAAGTTGTTTTGCATTTTCTAGATAGGCATTTCGACAATCATGGAAACGTTAGAAGGTCGAAAACGTCATGGAGGATGTATGAAATTTCTCGGTGAATATTGGGCTCTTCTTATCAAAATGCTTCTCTTAACAAAACGTAAACGTGGTCAAACCATAGCAGAATTCCTTCTTGCATATATATTTTTGGCTCTTCTACTTGGTATGCGATATCTTCTTGATCGTAACTATTATCAAGCACGACAAATAACACCATTTCTTCCTCATGAGTCAATGTTAAGTAATAGTACAACTGCTAATATAACATATTATTATCCTTGTAAGTTTGTGCTATGATTATTTAATTAAAACATGTCAATTATATTTATTATATAGACAGTGTATGTACGGATACAATTGTAAGAACTGCTGTTAACAATCTAGCACAGAATGTTCCTGGTTTTCCTACTACCGGTATGTTTATAAATAATGATATTAAGTTGCATTGAGAACTATACATTCGTTTTGTCGATAGTCAAGCGAGAAAACAAATTTCTCGTGCTTCATTGGATTCGAATATATAGAAAGAAAAGACACAGGTAGTTACATACTTACATGAATAAATGTACGACTATCAAGATTTTAATAGCTCCGTTTTTTAAAAGAAATATTTGGTGACTACTTAAAAAAAGAAGGAAGTCTTCAGTATAGTTAACTTCTGGTCACTTGACCACAATCTTAAACATGATTGTTACCGTTAACAAAATATGATAAAAATTCGGAAAGAGGCTATAAGTTTTCATTAAACTTTATACTTGAAAATGATTAATATAAAATATTGATATTTAAGTTCAATCGATTACGGATCCAACTTTATCATCTCTAACAAATTCAACATTGGAAACAATTTTTGCATTTGTTTATTTTACTAATATTGATAATTCATGTGCTACTGCTGTTTCAATACCAGATCAAGTTCAATATACATTACGCATGCAAGAGTATGATTTTTATTTTTTGCAAAAATTACTTTCATCTAATTACTTTTACAAAATAGAAATGGCCTTACATATTATCGTGCTCAACAAGTTAAACTTTATGAAAGTGATTATTTTTGGAAACGTTCACCAGAAGATTATTGTCAAGGTATTCATAAATATTTAGAATTTTAATAATCATCTTGATTTATTTTAGACAATAAAACGATGCTTAATTATACAACTCAATTTTTAGGTGTTCAATATTTTATTGATTTATCAATTATTGAATATGCAACTAACATCAATCAGAGTATATCAAGTGTTAGTTCATATTTTTATGTTACTTTTTAATTTGAAAAAAATTATTGTTTAGATTTATATGTATCATTTCGGTTGTCCTGAAGTTTATTTGGATCAGCTTCATTCGGGCTTTAATTTCTTTGTTCCATTATTTTATTCTATTATCTATGTCGTAACATTTATTTTGAATGTTGGATACATCGTCGAAGAACGTGCGAATAAAACTAAGGTAAAAATGAAATATAACACATTTATGACGTCTTTATTGACACCAATAAAGATCTTGTATAAAATATTAGATGTATATGAAAGAGGAACTATGTCACCGTACTTTTCGTTCTTCCTCGGTACTTGATCGTACTTTTTTCTCATTACACAACACTGGAAGAGAAAAGAACAATGCTGACGTAGAGAGGAAAAAAAGTGTAAACAACAGTCTATTTAATTTCATCAAGCGACGGAAAGGGATTAAAATAAAAAAAAGCATTGTTGGAGAAAAGATATAATCTGCTTTTGATTTGATGTGACGTTCTACCAATTGAAGCAGAAAATTCTAAGAAACCAAGGGTTGGAAAATTTTTTTGAACATAGTTGGAGGTGTACGGTTAAAGTAGATATTTTTTCAGTGCAAACTTGATAATATGTGTTGTAAAATTAGAACGTCTATGTTATGGCTTTGATATCAATATTTTTTCAAGTATTATGGTTTCATATGTGATCTTTGAATGTTTCTCATATATTGAACGATAGTCGAAGCCGGAAAAAAATAATTTATGAATTATAAATGTTTAAATGTTTTTATCTATTCTATCATTCATGAACAATCTTTCTCGGTTGACGAGACTTCGTGCTTACTCAATCATCAGAAAAGCTGAGTGTCGAGCAAGCATTTATCAATGTGGCCATTTTAGAACAATAGAGAATAAAAATATACGAGCTTCCGAAGTTTGAGACTGACTGATTTCAGAAGCGATATGTCCGAGACGTGCATAGAAGGTGTTCACATCTCCCTAACACTTTAAAAAAAACTCTACGTAATATCCTTGCCGTAAAATAGAGTAGAGGTTAGAAAAGTTTTTTAGTTAGGATACAAAAAAGCTTACTCTGCACATCTATCATATATGTTTCAGGATTACATTACCAATTTACTATTAGTTTTAGTAGTTATAAGAAGACTGTCACGGGATATTGAAATGAATATAATTTTCGAAAATACTCTAATGAAACATGTTTGGTAATGAAGTTAACGGCAGTAGTAAACTTCAAAGATTTGTCGAAGATTTCCTCTAGAGATATTGTTTTGGATCGGATATTGTTACGTTTTTATTACTGTTGTTAAGATTACCTTTTAAAAATCTCTTCAATAAACATATATACAGAAATGAAATTTTCTTTTTAATTAGCCGATGGAAGGTATTGCACTCTTTCACACGGTAGATGCTTTCTTTTTTGATTATTTATTCATAAACTGCACGGCTTGAGAAAGAAGAGAAACATTGACAAAATGAATATGCTAATCTTCATTATGTTCTTTTCTAAAAAATTCTTTCCACAACCTAATCAATTAAAAGATGATTTGTATTTGAACATTTAATTAATAAAATGTATAGTAATCATGAGCAGTTTTTCATATTTGTTTAAGTTTCTATGAAAAAATTGTTAGTCGTCGAATATTGCCTAATACAAATTTTGTTTTTGTATCTTGAATGTGTCAATCAACTTCTTTTTTTTTCTGACGTACATAAAATGTTCAAGAAGTGGAAAAATTTTATTTACGCATGAAAATGAATCATTGCTTCAATGAATTTCTATTGAAGTAAAGGAACAAACAAAATTCGATGTCTATTTTAAGCTATCAATAAATTGAATGATGTATTATTAGGAATATTTACGAATCTTCGGTCTTCGTACTTGGGTCAATAATCTAGTTTGGGTAACACGATCAATGTTAATTTATTTCATATTAACTTGTATTTCGACTCTATTGAGTAAAGTTGCTTTTAATGGTTCAAGTAGTCAATGGAATAGTGCTAGTAAAGCTGTTTTTAATAATACACATTGGACAGTTCTATGGACAGTCTTATTTGTTTATTCCATTCAAGTATCGACATTTGCTGTTTTTTTTGGACAACTTTTTAAACGAAGTAACATTTTATTTCTTATATTTTCTACATAAATAAAAAAAACAAAAATTTTATTTTAGCTTTATTAGCCAAATTAATTGGTTTGATTATTTGGATTTTAACATTTATCGATTATTATTCGCGTGCACCAGTTGGTCTTCGATATTTTCTATGTTTATTTCCAAATGCTGGTCTTTTATTTTGTATACAAGTTATGGAACAATATGAACGTCGAAGTAGTAAGTCAACAAAGTATGAAATAAGAAGAAAATATTAGATTCATTTTTATAGGTGGTATGGTTACATATGGAGAACTTTACTCAAATATATTTGAATATCGATTATATATTGGTCTTTGTCTTTTGCTTATGTTAATCTATTCTGTAATTTATATGTTTCTGGCTATTTATGTTGAACGTGTCAATCCTGGTGAATTTGGTATTTCACAACCATGGAATTATTTATTTAAAAAGTCTTATTGGACATCATCAGCAGTAGTACGACCATCTGATATTGGAAATAATTTTAGTAAAATCGACAATGATATATCGAATAATAATCATTGGATTGAAATGAATAATATTGAGAAGAAAAAAAATCCATCTATGAAAATAGATCATTTAACTAAAGTAGAAATTGTTTTTTTTTGTATATTATTAATATTTCTGATTTTATTTTTATTCGTTGAATTTAGACATTTAAAAATGTTCAAGCTGTTTCAAATCTTTCACTTGATTTTTATCCTGGTGAAGTATGTACCTTGTTAGGACATAATGGTGCGGGAAAAACAACTACAACGTTTATTCTTGTTGGTATGTTAATATTAATTAAAAATTTCTATTGAATTAAACTTGTTTGATTTTTTTTTTCTGAGGAATGTTAAAACCTACATCTGGTAGTGTAACTATTCAAGGATTAGATAATCAAATACATATTGAAGAAGTTCGACATTATCTCGGTTTTTGTCCACAATATGGTAAAATACAGAAATCCTTGAAATAACAAATACAAAAGACTTTCTTATTGTTATTTAGACATTCTTTACGATGAATTATCTGTTGAAGAACATTTAGAATTAATTGCTAAAGTATGATAGAGAATTTTATTCCGAATATTATTATCAGGGTTATTTTATAGATGCGTCATCTAGATAAACAATTAATGAAAGAATCAATTGAAATAATTCTTAATTTAATTGGATTAACTAATGATCGAAATACTTTATCAAAAGATTTATCAGGTGGAATGAAACGTCGATTATCAATTGGAATTTCTTTAATCAATAATCCAAAAGTTTGTTGATTTTGTGAAATATGATCTAATATGGGTGTGGAAGTATATAAAGTCGACATTTGCGCTTTCCACCCTCTTACATTTTAATTTTACAGAGATTGTGCTAATAGCTTTTATTTCTATGATTATTGTATTTAGGTTATTATTCTTGATGAACCAACAAGTGGTATTGGTAAGAGTTTTTTTTATCAAGATAAAAATCATAGATATATTTTTATTTCATTCAAAGATCCTTATAATCGCCGTCTTATATGGGCTATTATTCGAAAATTAAAACTAACAGGAAAATGTGTATTATTAACAACACATTTTCTTGAAGAAGCCGATGTTTTATCTGATCGTATTGCTATTATGAGTAGAGGTCGATTACAAGCTAATGGTACACCAGATTTTCTCAAACAACGAACAGGTTAGTTGAAAAGAATGACAGTAATTTTTAACATTGAAATTTATATGTTTCTTTTTCTTAGATTTTGAATATCGATTATTAGTGGATAAACAAGAAGAATGTTTTAGTGATCGTATAACACAATTTATACAAGAATATGTTGGTAATGTTGTTTTAGAACGTGAATCAGCTGCTGAACTTGTTTATGGTATAAAACGTGGTGAATCAAAACAAATTGAACTATTAATTAATGCACTCGATCAAAATAAACAAACAATTGGAATTAATTCTTATGGTTTATCAATGACAACTATTGAAGATGTTTTTCTTCGGTAAATATTAAAAAAAATCAATCATTTTAATATTCTGGTTTGTTTTTTGAATGTATAGATTAGTTCAAGAAGAAGATGAAAATGATCCAACTCAAGAGAATACAAAACGTCAATTAGATGATCAAGGTAATCGAATCATTATATTACATAAAAAAAAGACAAATAGAAATATGAAATAAATACTTTTTTTAGTTTTTCGTAAACAATATCAACGTGTTTATGGTTTTGATCTATTTTGGACTCGTGTGCGGGCATTATTAATTAAACGATGGCATGTTTCTCGTCGACAAATTAGTTTATTTTTAGGCTTTTTTCTACTATCAATAATAGCTGAAATACTTTTTGTTTCTGCTGTACCAACACCAAAAGAAATTCAAACATCACTTTCAAATAATCCACGTGTTACTGATGCTCAAGTAACATTAATTCCATCAATTTATAATTCACAAACCATAGTTGCATATGCAAATAGTAATACAAATAATATCCAAACACGTCTTATTAATTATTTAACAGATACAGGTGCTACTATTGTTAATATAACCGATGATAATGTACTTAATTATGTTAGAGCAAGATATTATGAATCGGAAGATATTTTTGTAAATAAATATCAATTAAGTTTTGCTGCATATAATAATGGAACATCATCATCACCATCATTAAGAATGAATGCATATTTTTCAACAGTTAATTTTCATACCATGCCAACAAGTTTAGGTGTTGCAGCAACAAATCTCTATCAATTCTATGCTAATTCATCATCAAAAAGTATTGTTACAATAAATAAACCAATAATAACAAATCCAAAATCTGGATCTTATCTTGCTGAAGTTATATCTGTTCTTTATTGTTTTGAAGTATTTCCAATATCATTATTTAGTTTTTTAAATAGTATTATAGCAGCAATATTTATTGGTATTCTTATATTGACATTAGTAACGGAACGTATAAGTCATTCAAAAGATCTTCAATTATTAACAAATTTAAAAAAACGAATATATTGGTTTTCAAATTGGATTTTTGATTTTGTATTATGTTTAATTCTTATTTCACTTTTAACGATTGTTGTTAAAGTAAGTTGAACAGAAAAAAAGATCATTTATTTTTGTATTAAGTATATGAATATATATTATTTTTTATATAGATTGGTGCTATAGCAAATTCAAAAAGTGATGCTGAAGTTCATGTTTATCAAAATTCATCAGCAACTGGTTATTTTTTTTTTATGTATCTTATGTATACATTAGCATCATTACCATTTCTCTATGTATTTTCATTTATTCCAAATTCATCAATTATGGGTTTTACAAATTTTTTTATTATAAATATTATTACATGTGTTATTGATGCAGTTGTTACTTCTTTTACTGTCTTTATTAAAAATGATACACCATCAGCAGGTCCTACTAAAGTGTATACAATTGTCAATGTTATTCGTTCAATTTTTGCTGTTCTACTTCCAACAGTCAATTTAAAACAGGCTCTTTCTAATATTCAACTACACGAAAATACTGGATGTATATCAGTATACAATTCATTAATAGGTACGAAATTTTCTACAAATGATTCATTGATGTCAACTAGTAGACCCGGTGTTGGTGCACAATTTATTATATTTTTTGTACAAATTATATTTTGGTGGATAATTTTAATTGTGATTGAAAGTCGTCGTAGAATTCGACAATGTTGTCACGGATGTTGTTGTTGTGGAAATGATTTAGCAGATTCAACATTAACAGATGAATGGAATGATTCGGTATAAATTTCTATTATGCTTTCTATATTCACTAAGGTAATTTAAAAATTTGTTTGTTTTAGCTATTAGATGAAGATGTACGACGAGAACGTCAATTAATTTTGCAAGACAATGAAATGTCAAAAACATCTGTAATTGTTGTGGAAGATCTTGTCAAAAAATTTACAAAAAGAAAAGCAAAATCTAGTGGTAAACAAAATTATCTAGCAGTTAATCATTTAAATTTTCATGTGCAAAAACGAGCATGTTTTGGTCTATTGGGTATAGAATGATTTATTGAAATTTAACATTAAATATAGATATTTTTTTATTTCTTCAGGGGCAAATGGAGCAGGAAAAACTACAACATTTCGTATGTTAGTAAATGATATTAAATCAACATCAGGCAAAATAATTATCAATGGAAAAAACATGAACGAAATGGTAAATACTTAGCTATATTTTCTTCAAGATGTAAATCGTTTTCTCTGTTATAGAAACGTGATTTAGAAATTGGGTTTTGTCCACAATTTGATTGGCTCATATATGATCTTACTGTTTCAGAAACATTAACTTTATTTGCCAGGTAAACAATTGAAACTATTGAGAAACATTATTATTAACATAGTTTAATTGATCTTATCAATCTAATATATGTTCAACTTCATTGTTTTATTTAGGTTAAAAGGTGTGGAAGCATCAGAAATATCAGAAATGTGTAATAATATGATAAATATATTTGGTCTTGAAATGTATGGAAACCGTCAAGTACAAAAATTAAGGTAAATTTTTGACAATAAGAAGTTATTGATTACATTAGATATCTATAGTGGTGGTAATAAACGAAAAGTTAGTGCAGCTTTAGCATTCATGGCCAACCCAGCATTAGTATTTTTGGATGAACCAACAACAGTATGTGTTTATTTAATAAGCGGGAAATTCTAAGACATCACTTTAGGGTTTGGATGCAGCTGCTAAACGAAAATTATGGAAAGTAATTCGAGCTGCACGTGATGTTGGTTTGACAATTATTATGACAAGTCATAGGTAAAATAATCCATTGATTTTAATATATCTAGTTATATATAAATATTTTTAGTATGGAAGAATGTGAAGCTCTATGTACTAGTAAGTTGTTGAAACTCAAAGCTCACTGTTTTTTCTTCATAGCTTATTTTGTGAAGTACGATCTAAAACGATATATCAATAACCGTTCGTTATAATTAGATATGGACAAGATGGCTTATATGTCATATTTTGACGACTCATATGTTTTAAAAGTTTATGCGAAGATGGTTGAGTAATGATCACTTCAATATTTGCTGTTAGAATTTTGATAATAAAATGAATCCATTTTTTCGTAAACAACAGAGTTGTCGAATGCATAAACGTGTAGAATAGACAAAATCTCTGAGAGAAAGGACATTAAAGATAAAAAAACTAGAAACAGCGGCTACATTGTGTGTTTCACATTTTAGTCCTACAATGATTGGTCTAACTGCTTTCTTGTTTAGAAATTGGTATTATGAAAATGGGTCAATTTATGTGCCTTGGAAATTTACAACATTTAAGAAATCGTTTTGGTAATGGATATGCTGTCAAAGTAAAAGTAGCCGGTGATAATGTAGATAATGTCAAAGTTGAATTAATGTCAGATTTACCAGGACTTGAAATACAAGGTAGGAAAAGTATTTCGAAATGAATGAATTTTGCATGTAATAGTTTAAATAGATCAACATAATGAAGTGCTATTTTGTAATGTACCATTTTCCTATTCATCAACAGATGAAGAAAATCCAACCAAATTGCCTTATAATTTGGCGAGTGTGTTTGAAATATTGAATGGAAAAAAAGAACATAAAATAATTGAATCATATTCAGTGACACAAACAACACTTGAACAAATTTTTGTTCAACTTGCTGGTGAAGATGAAGATGCTTCATCTGATCGACGAGATAATAATGAACAAAGTAAGAAACTTGTTTATTTTATTTATTGCGAATTTCAAATAAATTAATATTATTTATCTCTGTTGTATTTTATTATAATAATAAACTTAAATTCTGTTTTGTTTTTAGCTATTCCACCAACGACAACAAGACTGTAATGTGAATCACTTTAATCAAATCTATTTTTCCGTTGAATATTTTACTTTAATCGGTGTATTCAATAAAATTATTTATTTTCCTATCCATATGCGCCATGGATAATAATTTCTTCTGCTTACTTGTGATTCGTCTTCTACAACAAATAAAAAACATTTTAGCCTTACAGAACAATCAACAGTGTCGAGTCAAAGCACTGTATTTTTAAAGATTCGCTAGGAAGACAACGGTTATGGTGTACTATTGTTGTATCAATCTAGACATGCTCGAGTAAATAAACAGAGAGAATGGCAGATAACTTTCAAAATTCGAAATCATTTTTCGCAACCAGCAAGGCTGTGGATGTGTGTGCCGGTGGCTGGTACAGTAGCGAGGATTCATACCTGAGCTGAGTCACACCTCACACGCACACCCTCAAAACAATACTTTGTTCCCGTGAGAACTCCGACTCGCTGTTGCGTCTTTCAGCACCCACAAAACTTGAATAAATAATGAGAAATTTTGCTGTAAGGACTGAAGAGCTGTATTCAATCGCCAGGTCATTCTAAGGATGCCGTATTTTCTCTTCTTCATTCATTTGTTTCATTGTATGTAGGCATTATCATCTTTGTCAGCCGATTTCAACGAAGTATAGTGCAAATTTCGGCCGTTTAAGGATCCTTTGAACCGATTTATAGAGAAGATTGATGGGAGAGGAATGATGAAAAACATGAAGAAATCTTCATTTACGAGAGAATTTAAAACAAATACAACGACGTCAGAATGTTTGTAACAAAATTTATTTCCCATATAGCTCTACAAACTTAAATCATAAAATTCTAAACTTTTTAAAACATGCATCCTAATATTCTGTACAATATTCAAAATAAAAGATCCTCTTGACTTGTCCTAATAGATTTCGAGAAAGCTAAAACAAAAGATGTATCAGATGTTGTAGTTTCTCACTTTGATATCGATGGAAACGCTTTTAAAGAACACATTTGCTACTTTAATCGAATTATATGTACAAAAACTCATTTCTGCATGCCATCATCTCGATATAGTGAGCATTTTGAGTTCGAAAAAAGTGGGAAAAAAATAAAAGGTCTGTGAAATGTCATTGTTGCTTAGTTAGAGAAGAAAACAAGTTCAGAACAATGAGAAACTATAGATTCTCATATACATTTCCTTTTAGCTCTCGTCAAATCAATTAACATGAGTCGCGAAACATGAAGACTTTATAATTCAGACTAAATGAACCGAATTCTATTTTGGAGACTTCCAACTTCTACCAATTTCCTTGATTTCATGATCATGAATTTAGCAAACGAAAATACGTGAGGAATTTCATTCAATTCATATTTCTGTCTTTCAAAAGATTCAATAGTTTGACTGACATCATGTCTAAGTTCTCGACAGATTTCAGGACTTTAGAACTTTAGCTGACAATATGACTTCCCAAGTGAGCAAAAGACGGGGTAAATGACTAGTCTTTTTTCTAGTACTGTCGGCCCGTCATGCTTAGTCTTTGTCTCAAATTCGACGGGCACATGACTAGTCCGGGATTTTTGGCCGTCATGAAGCCTGTCTAAATCACGTGATTGACGGGCGACAGCGACGCCCGTCCAAAATGAGTTTAAAACTGAAAAAGTAAGGACGTCAGGGACGGTATATAGGACAAGTTGCAGTCTTGTGTGTAGTGGACGAGTCCAGACTAGTCTAAATGGAAATATGTAAGGATGAAGATTAGATTCGAACATGCGTACAATGTATTACTTACCCATCGCTTAGACCATTGAGCCATATGATCAAGAAATTAGCTTCTACATAGTCATAATCATTCTAAGATGCTATTTAATACAATTTTACTTAAAGTTTTTTATGTTCACATTTAAATAAAAATTATTTTTTACAAAATATGACATTATTTGGACAATATTAAAAAAACAAATTCAAAAAAATTTGTATATTTTTTGGAAAAATATCTTTTGATTATCATTAACTAGGAATAATTAGTTGCGTTAAAAAAAAATAAATTTTAAATGTAAAAATAAAAAAGCTATTTATATTCAAAAGAAACCAGATTTCTTCATATGATGGCTTAGTTTTAAATTAAAATTACCATATCTTCAACTAACAATTAAATTAACTTTGCTTAATTTAAATATATTCTTAAATTTAAAATTATTAGAATTTATATTTAAAATAAGATAACATAAAATTATGACATAAAAAAATTTAAATTATTCTTCAGTTTTTTTTAAACATAGTACATCTAATAATATTAAAAAATATAAATTAATATTACTCGCTACGAGATGAATACAGTTCATTATACTTACTCCAACTTTTTTGTTAGTTTTGATATGCTCTTACATTTTCAACATATGAAAATACAAAATATAATAAGATATATGAAGACAGGAATGCACAGAGCATATTATCTATTCTTGACCTCGTTGTTGATTATAGCTGACTCTCTGATTGTCATTCTACCTAGAGAAATATTTATAATATCTTGGCGAGCGACATAGTTTTAATATGAAAAAATGCGTCTTATTAATTACCTTAATCATAATATAATAGATCAATTTTGATCCTCAATCCAGAAAGATTTGAATACAAGACAGGCAATAAAACGATTGTTATCCTACTATCTAGTTCATAGATTAAATGTATTTGATATTATCCATTGATTATTTTTAACAAACGATATAGATATTGAAAAGTTTTTCTACTTGCATTCTTACTTTCATTATTGATCAGTTTAAACGAATTAACAAGATATATTTGATTCAAAAAAAGTGGATTGTTTAGAGTTTTCAGACTAGTCTGACTAGAACGGGTGACATACTCTTTAAAAAAGGACTAGTCATGACGAGCGCAGACGACGCTTCGGACTAGTCTTGACTCTATGAAATACGTTTCAGACTAGTCAAAGTCGTGTGACATCGACTGGTTTCTGATTGTCTAGTGGATGGACGAGAGTCAATTTGGTATCTTAGACTATAAATTGACGTCAGTCTATCTCAGTGTCCTAGTCTACCATCAGGATGCCCGTCCGGTTTTGAATACTGTCGGGTTGGATGTTCGAATCTATCTTCATCCTCTTTTTTCTTAGTCTTCGGACTAGTCTGGACGGGTTCAAAGGACGAAATGGACTAGACATGACTGGGTGGGTTCAAGGACTTTCTGGACTAGTCCAGACGTGTTTGAAGGACATTTCTCCAAAAGGTGACTAGTCATGACGGGTGTGCAAGACGTTTCAGACTAGACTTGACGGGCGTTGCGGACATTTTGGACTAGTTATGGACGCCGTCTTTCGTTATTTTTTGCTCACTTGGGTTAGGAACTAATAGTCATATACACTTAGGAACTTTCACTATATTCCTGATGCGCGCTTTAACAGATATGAACATGGAAGGACTTTGACAAAATCTATGAGTATACATTAAGGAGCCTTGAAAACGTTTGCGACCTGCAGAGACTTTGACACGAAGACTATCTTCAAGACTATCCATTTGACAGACTTGACGACTATGATTGAAACACTACGACTCTATATCTATCAAACTTTAAGGTTCCTGGAACTATAACTAACTTCGTGTCTTTGTGTAACTTCTAGTACGCTGAAAAAGATGATGCGCTTCGGAACTCATGAGGTTTTGGACTATTTGGTACGTCTTTTAAGATATCTTATAAATGGACGAAACATTTTAAAGGTTTGCAAATGTGTTACGTTTAGTGCAAAACCATGAAAGGTTTTCCAAATAGAAAAGATATTATTATATACCTACCGAAGGTATCGTAAGCAACAGATTTCGTGCCGGACTTAGTTTTTTCTCGTCTCATTAAAATACGGACACATGTTCATCGATATAAAACTCAAATCAACATTAAGAAGTTAGAATAAGGGCACAGATATACAGTGCCCGTCAGAAGTCCCTGGACATGTCAAAATCCAGGTAAAGCTGAACCATTTTCAATGAAATTTTTACCAGAGATAGAACTCGAAAAACTGTGTTCGCAAGCACCAATCCGAGTTCGATCGACTGAGATAGGATGGAGTTCGGTTTGAAATATTGCTTTCAACTTTTGTGACTTTGATCTCAACTTTCAAAGAATTTTATCAATTTTTTCCATTCATCAATTCAAGCTGGGTTGTTTTTCGCATTTTTCTACGCAATTTTCATAAAATTAAATCCAAACTTACCCCAAAGATGCGAGAAACAATCTGATTTAAATTGATAAATGGAAAAAATTGATAAAATTCTTTGAAAGTTGAGATCAAAGTCACAAAAGTTGAAAGCAATGTTTCAAACCGAACCCCATCCTATCTCAGTCGATCGAACTCGGGTTGGTGCTTGCGAACACAGTTTTTCGAGCTCTATCTCTGGTAAAAATTTCATTAAAAATGGTTCAGCTTTACCTGGATTTTGACATGTCCAGGGACTTCTGGCGGGTACTGTAGATTAGTGAATAGTTTTGTTGGTAGTTGCCAGAAACCTATACAATGTTTTCGAAGTCTCAAAAGCATCTATTGTGTTTTCAGGATCTGGAGCTTTTTTGAATGCTTTTGAGGGTTTCCGAGAGCTTGAAAACCCTTTTCCAGAAACCTGTTAATGGTTTCATATAGTGACAAACTCAGAAACTCTTTATAGAATTCCGATAAAACCTTCTTTTTTAGAGCGCATCCACACACACCATCCACAAACCTTGATAACAAATAAGAAATGATACAATGCGTAGAACAAAATCGTCATCAATGTTTACTTAACACTGATAACGATTTTCTTGTTCAATCAGAGAAGAATTGGAATAAAAGAAAAATAAACGAAACAATCTATTCATTAATTAATGAATCATTTACTGGAAATGATAACCTTGGCACAGCCTCGGAGCAAAGTTTTCGATAAAACAAAATAACAAATCAAAAGAAAAAGCGAACAACATTAACATACCAAAACCAACAGTTATTTTCGATTGAACACAACGCTAATATTGATTCGGAAATACTTCATCA